CTTCTCTAACTAAACAGAGAAGGGGGAGATGCCAGAAGCCAGGACCCTCGCCCTTACCCTCACCCCCTACCTTTCCCCACCTGCACAATGTCCCCTGAAGCTTGGCAACTGCAAGATCCTGTTTGGCAACTGCAGATAGACTCAAAGCAGTGTACCATATCTTCTGAAGAATAGCAGGTAGATCATAATTCAAGGCAGTGTACCGTATAGACCATGACATGTTTCAAGGCACAGGCCAAGAAGATTCTGTACTTTTCTACCACCTGGCCCCTCTTACCCCCTCCCCTTGTAAAACATGCTATAAAAAAGCGTTTCATGTTCAAAAAATTTTTTAAAAAATCACATTAAAAAAATAAATAAAAAAATATATACTTGTAATTTTCTTATAGAAAAAACCTTTTGATTGATTCTAAGTAAAAGATTTATTTTGTTTCAGTTAACTGCATATTCAAATAAAAACTTAGAACATACAAGTCAAAAGTTGTATAAGTTCTTTATCCACTTTTAATAATAATTATGTCACAGAAACACACACACACACACACACACACGTACCTGTATAACAGAAAATGTCTCTGTTGCTGTTTCTAATGTTTATGACCCAAAATAAAATTGAGAATTTTAATTATGTTGTGTTTTGGTATTGTATAGGACAAGACCAGCCAAACTAAAACATACTTAATCACTGCAGTTACTACTGATTTCTGCTGCTTGTATTCTTGGCTTTGGAAAATTATTCAAAGTAATTTTCTAAAAGAAAATTATTGACCGAAAAATGAAATTATCTCAGCTCAGTGATCTCAATGAACCCAGCACATGCTAGCTTTATGGGAACTGTAGAGTATATCAGAAAAATATTTTGTCTGACAAATGGAGACAAGATATTCACTCAACTCCCCCTAATTTTCATAAGTTATCATATAATAATACTTAGGGTATTCACATAAATGCATAGTTTTATTTCAAGTCTCCTCCAACAATTTTTACTCTGTAAATAATGAATCTTTCTTTATGTTTATTTTGGTAGACAACTTAGAAGATCACAGAAATGGAAAATGTAACACTGCTGACAGTTTTTCTTAGAAGAACTCACACATCAACCACAGTGGAAAGTCCCTTCTTCCTGGCATTTTTGGTCATCAATCTCATCTCCACTGAAGAGTATTTCAGTCTGATCAACTTCTGGGTGATTCTCACCTTCACATCCCTATGTACTTACTCCTCAGCAATTCAACCTTTGTGGACAGTTGGTTGTCTTCTGAATTATTGATCACCTTGTCATTTGAGACCACAACTCATTCTCTCTCTGTCTCTCTGTCTCTCTCTGCCTCTCTGTCTCTGTCTCTCTCTCTGTCTCTCTCTGTCTCTCTCTCTCTCTCTCTCTCTCTCTCTCTCTCTCTCTCTCTCTCTCAATTCCAGATATAATCTTTTCCTTTTCTTTCAGTGTGAGTGCCAAGTACTTCAACTTCAAGGGCTAGGATTGATATATAGCTATAGGCAAACCTTTACTTTATCCAATAATTATGACCAAGAGCCAATGTCTCCACCTAGTGATTTTGTCATTTGAGGGTGGTTTTCTTCATGTCTTAACTTATGAGATATTTTTATTGAAACTAACTTTCTGTAATTCTAATGGAATATATCCCTTTTATTGTGACTTTATGCTTTTTTTATATAAAAGATTTCCAGTTCTGATTCTTCTATTAGCTTTCTGTTGATGTTTGGTTTAGCTGGTACACCATGAATATACACCATAGTGACTGTTATAGACTTTAATCCATGTGTTCTATTTGTTTCAAGGGCATAAAAATGCCTTCTCCACCTGTGGAGTCCATCTCCTATATGCATCTTTGTATTATGTCTCTTTTCATGTATGTATGCCTTGCCTCTAGATAAACAGATGCTGAGAAGATTGACTCCCTATTTTACACTGTCATAATTCCTATGTTGAACCTAATTATCTACAGTCTTTAAAAAAGCAAATCATAGATTCAATGAGAAAAAGCTGTTTAGATTTTGTAAAATATTTTATTTTAACACAATTGACACTTTTAGTGAGGTTAAATCTGGATATTTTTTGATATATGCTGATATTTTTTTAAAAATAGTCCTCACATTTCTGACCCATCATTAATATCTAGCTAATTCCTTTATTTCTATATACCCTCCAAAACATGTAATAAAATTTAATTAAGTGTCCAATGCAAACTACGATGATTAAATGGGAAACTTCCTTCCTCCAATTCTTCCAAGATCTTCTCTACCTTCCTACTCACCCAAATTTAAGTTTTCTCTCTTTCTCTTTCTAGCTTTCACATAAAAAAGACAAAAACTATAAACAAAATAAAACAAAATAGACAAACAAAAAACAAGAGGCACAACCTTCCACATAAATACACACACACACACACACACACACACACAAACCAGCCAAAACCAAAAATAACTAAACAAATAGCAACAACAAAAGCCAGTAAGACCAAACTATGCCTAAATAAAGCAAAAAGGACACAAAAGGTCCATGAAAATACCATTGGGTTTCTTTTATGTTGACCAAATACTGCTGGACATGAGGCCTAGTCTGGATTATGCTTTATATATCCAGTGAGACTCCAGTGAAAACAACTGGTAAAGAAGCATAGCAATAAAATGGTGCCTATGATATGGTGGTACATCTACAGATCAATACCTAGCAAACAGAGACCAATAAGACACAAAAATGTCTAAATAAATGAAAAAGGAAACAAAAACGTCCTCAAAAATATCACTGACTTCCTTTTGTGTTGGACAATTACTCTTGAGCATGAGGTCAATCCTGGAATGTGATTGATATAGCCAGGGAGACTCTATGGGAGAAGATTCCTTTGCCAATGTTTAACATTTGCACATAAGTTCTTGATTATAAGTATGACCCAGTGGCAGCTTCCCACTCTTAGTACTGAGAACCCATCTGCCCTGAATCTGTGCAGGTCTTGTGCATACTGCCACAATCTCTGTGAGTTCATATGTGAATCAGCTTTGTGTGTTGAAGACACTATCTTCCTGGAGTCATCCATCACCTCTGGCTCTTATGAACTTCTACCTCCCCTTCTGCATGGATTCCTGAACGAAAAAGGAGGGGTTTGAAGAAAACATTTCATCTTGAACTGAGTGCTCCAAAGTCTCTAGCTTTTTGCACAACATCCAGTCAAGTCCCATCAACTGACATCTCTCACTTATCTGTGGGTATGTAAACGTTTAATCACTCATTTCTTTCATCATGCTTACCCTTTCTTCATTCCTAAACATTATATATAGGTAAGTGGACTTTAGGATGGGAATATCAGCTTCAGTATGAAAATGTGTGTAATACCATTTTGGGGAGACGGAAAGTAAGTTTAGTTCTGTAGATGAAGCATTTCTTATATGTAAAAATCCTGGATAAAGTAGTACCCCTAACATCAAGGGTGTTTTATTTCCAACCACCCAACAGGTGCTATGGCATCAAATCCCCTTACTACTATTTGAATTTAAGTACTTTTTCTTCAAAGTTATCTGACTATACAAACCATAAGCACAAATGTTGTGTGCTTTGTGAACTCAGGGTTTGGATTTGTTCAGTTATTAAGGGAAGAATGAAAGTCTTTCCTTCTCATGCCACTTTTATTTCTTTTTTCTAAGTTTATCTTATTTAGATCTTGAATGTATTTGAGTCAACCTGTGGATTGCTCTCAGAGAAATAAATCAGTTCTTGTCTTAACATAAGAATGCAATGAGCTAAGACCATCTTCATACTGGTTGGCTAAAATGGCTTTGACTATCTTTTCATTAATTCTTTTGTCTATGTTCAAATATTTGTCTATTTATCTGTAATATATATGAACTGAATTTTTTCAGCAATAATATTCATCATTTCACATCCAAATATGTCATGAAAGACATTTGATGGCTCTCAAGTTTCATGAGGTTTTCTTCTATGCACTCCCATACAAACCTGACTGCTGGGGACAGCATACAATGACAAGAACTGACCGCAGTAGGCTGGGATGGAGACATCTCAGAAGCCAACGGCAGCTCTTTGTAAAAAACAGTTGTTCCCGTTTCTTCTAACCTTAGCCCTGGACAACAGCTGTATAGATTTAATTTGTGTGTGACTGCTATTCTTAAACAATTAAAAATTGAGGCATGAGGCACAGCACAGCACAGTCCCAATGGCCCAAATGCATGCTGTGTGTGGGTGAAGAGTGAGTGAAGAGAGAGTGTGAGGTGTGTATGGAGAATGTGTATGTGAGTGAAAGGGGAGTGCATGTGGTATGTGTGATACATTTGTGAAGTGTGTGTGTGTGTGTGTAAGAGTGAAAGAGGAACACACAGAAGTGTGCAGGAGTGTGGGAGTTCAAGAAAAGAAGATCACACAGGAGAAAAGCAGAGTGCACAAGAGAATGTAGAGTGCATGCAGCCTCAAGCTGCCAGAGAACGAGTGAGAGAGAAAGAAAGCAGAAAGTGAGAGAGAAGAGAGAGAAACTTTAAACCTTGAAAAATTGTCTGACAGCTTGAACCCAAAAAGTAGTCTGTGTATATTTATTATGTGCTCTCCAGATATCCCTGCTTCCAGTTGAGAACTCCGATTCTGTGTCGAGGATGGACCCCGACACCTGCCAACAACATAGAGTAAATCTGACATGACTTTCAGGCTGCCTAATATAATTTTATCTCTAAAGTATCACACTCAAGTGCTTTTGAGAGAAATAAAATGGTTATAATATTTGGTACATACATAACATAATAACATGAAATTATAAATTGTTTCCTTGCTTTTACTTTTATCATGATATAAGAACACATTATTAAAATTTACATGTATGCATATGAACAATGACTACAGATATCTACTAATATACTAAGGACATAATTGTATATTTAAATGAAATAAAAAATGTTGCCCAATATTTATAATTTCAAGGTTATTTAAATGAAAATATCCATATTTACCTCTACAATATTGTGAGTTTTAATCAGATCTAAACTGTTAGTTTCAACATTTTTTTCAGAGAATCTATGACTTGCTTATTTCTGAGGCTGTAGATAATTGGATTTAATACGGGGATTATAACTGTGTAAAACAGAGAGAGGATCATGTCTTGATCATCTACTTCTGAAGATGCTGGGTGCACATACATGAAGAGAAGAGGCCCATAGTATAAAGATACAGAAAGGAGATGGGCACCGCAGGTAGAGAAGGCTTTCTTTATGCCCTTGTCAGACTTCTTTTTTAAAATTGTAAAGAGAACAAATGTGTAAGAAATAAGAACAGTCATAATTGTAAACACTTGTATTGAACCAGAGAAAATGAAAATGATCAAATAATTTAAAGAAGGATCAGTACAGGAGATTTTTAACAGTGGTATAACATCGCAGTAAAAATGATATAGTATGTTGGAATTACAGAATGTTAATCTAGATAAAAAGCTTTCATGAATCACAGCATGAAGAAAGCCACCTACAAATGATAAGGCTAATAGGCGAATGCATAATCTATTGGTCATAATTACTGGATAAAGCAAAGGATTGCATATAGCTGCATAGCGATCATAAGCCATTGCTGCCAAGAGAAAACATTCTGTTGTCACACTGATTGCAAAGGAAAAAAATTGTGTCATGCATTCAGCGACAGAAATCACCTTGCCTTTATCCAAAAGATTAAGTAGCATCTTTGGTGTCACTGTGGATGATAACCAAGTATCCACAAAGGCTAAGTTACTAAGGAATAAATACATGGGGATGTGAAGTCGAGGGTCATTCCAGATGAGAGTGATCAGACCAAGGTTCCCCACAATGGTCATGAGGTATATTACCAAGAACACCAGGAACAGGACGGTTTTCCACTGTGGTTGGCATGTGAGACCTGTGAGAATGAACTCTGCCCATAGGGTTTCATTCTTTTCCATGTTGTCATTGAATGTCTCCTGAAATTAGATGTAATTAATGTAAGATAAGTAGTCACTGGGAAAGATTCATGTGAATATTGAAGGTGATTCTAGAGAGGAAACAATATATTACACTTTCCTTATAGCCTGTATAATACTATAACGGGCGAATTACTCTAGAAATAAAGAATAACAAATTTTTCAATTGATTCCATACAGTAATTAGTAGGTAGTAACATTACTAGTGAATGGGAGACCTTCTAGGCTTGTGATAGATTAATTGAGAAACACACTGGCACTGAATGTGATACATGAACAGGAGGAAAGCTATTGGAATGTACTGGAGTATAAACTACATTGAATGCCTTGAAAGGAATTTGAACTTCATCCCTTAGGAATCAGCTTCAAATGAGAGTCACAAGATGCAGAATGATTTTTTTTTTTACAGAAACACTTTTAAAAAATATTTGCGTAGCACAACAACGCTTTCAAGAAGAATGTTGGAATAAGGGACTTTAACCAAGACACAGCTACTATTGAAAGACTGCCAAACAAATTTACCATATCAGTGACCCAGAAGAATGTTTTATATCAAATATACATGATTAAGAATGAGTGCAGCAATAAAGTCAATATACAAGAATGCATTAGGAATATATGCTCTAAATATGTTCCTTTGCTGAAGCCAAGATAAGTATATTGCTTAGTTCATACATTAAAAGGCAATTGACATGATAGGGTGACAATTTCACAGGTACAAAAGCATTCGGTATACATGGTAACTAAGATTCAGTTATGTAATAGGAATCAAAGAGTAGCAGAGAAGCAGAGATAAACCACAGTGATCATAAATCTGATCTAGTCAGATCAGTGGCCATCAAAAGAAAATGAGAATTTCCTGGAACACCTAGCATTCCTCCATCAAATTCCTCACCTTAACAATCAAGAAACAGTGACCTCTAAATCAGCAAGAACAAAGTTCATATGAATGCACAGAGACTGATGCAGGATGCACAAGGCCTGCATAGATCTGCACTGTTTTACATCAAGATTATGACTTCTAGTTTATAGGATTCCTGAGTGTGCGATTAGTGGGTCTCTGCTTTTAATGCTTTCTCTTGGCATTTTTCCTTCTGCTAGTTTGTCCGGTCCAAGTTCAATAGTTTTTGTTTTATCATATTTTATTTTGTGGTGTTTTGTTGTTATCTCTTAGAAGCCTGTTCTTTTCTATGAGATACAGAAAAAGAACGCATCCAAATGGGAGGGAAAGTAGGGAGTATTGGGAGCTATAGAGGGATGAGAAATTGTAATTGGAATATATTATATGAGAAAAGAATATATTTTGATAAGAGGAAAAATAGTAGTGAAAAAATTCCAAAAAAGAGCATTTTCTCAATATCCAAGTGGAATACAGTTAATTTCTATGTCTTTATTAAACAATTAAGTAAGTATTTAAGTAAGCAACAACTTGGTGCAAATAGAAAAGTTAGAAGCAGAATTATAGGTAACCTACTCTGCAAAAAATATAAGAAAAGTGTGGAGGAAAAGAGAGAATACTGAAAATGTTATATTAAAGAACCTGTATTGTGGGTAGATTTCAGTTATTCAATAGACATATGACTCAGTCTCTAATGCATGAACATTTGCTAATCAGGGGCTTTTATCTTTTCAAGAAGCCCAAAATGCTTCAGACTCACTTTCTCACACCTCCCCTACCTAGAAGAAGAATGAGAGGATTTAATCAATGCTTTCCAAGTCAAACCACATATATATGCACGCTCTGTAATACTTAGTAAGAGAAAGGAAAGAGAAAAAGACAAAGAAACCGAATCTCGAAGACAAACAAGGAATAATAATAAGACTCCATTAAATGCGTGTGGCACCACACCAATGGCATTGTCTGTCTGAAGGGTGGCATCTCAAGCTAGAAGCAGTGCTAAAAGCTCTTACTTAGATAGCTTTGGGACAAGGTTGGAGCAGGCACTTCTGCTGCCTTGTTTTTTTCTCTTTGTATCTATTTTTCAATTTCATTCCTCAATATTGTTCTACATAAATTGTTCAGTACTCTAAGTGTGGACCCTGAATTAAGCAAAAGACACAAGAGATTCTAGAAAAATACTGAGCAAAAATTCTGGAACAGGGCTATCCCAAAAGCTGTTGCCTGTACTTAAGATATGTACTACTAGCTGGGTGGCCTTGTCTGTCCTCAGTGGGAAAGGAAGTGCCTAACTTTGCACAAATTTAAGTTCCAGGGTGGGGGATATACCCAAGAGGACCCAACTGCTCAGAGGAAAAGGGCAAGGGAGAAGGGGGAAGAATTGTGGGAGAGAGTGACTGGATGGGGGGGGCAATGAACAGAACGTAAAGTGAATAAGTAAACAAAAAGTCAAATTCAATCTAAAAAAAAAATTCTGTAAGCACACTTAGGGCTCAAAATTTGAAATTCGTGGTTATAAAGAAAAGACAAGCCCTCACAAAGCAAAACAAGCAAGCAAACAAACAAAAAGCCCTCCAATATCAGTGCAAACACCAACAAAGGCTCTAGTAGGGCAAGAAATTAATGGAGCTATTTGAGTATAGAGAATATGAAGATTTTAGTGACTTTCATGGGAACAACTCTCTCATGTGATAGAATTCAAAGTGCATCAGAGAACAAATACCCTGAGAGCACTGGGAGTGGAAGAATGCTCTAACGTTGGGAGCAATAACAATCTGCATCCTGCCTGAAGATGCTAAAACTCACTTTACTGCAGACCATTTGAATAAAAGTTACAGAGAGGAGAAGAGGGAGACAATTAAGCTGGACATAAAATCTTGAAAAGCAACTTGCAGTGAATTCAGAAAAACAAGGGGAAGGCTTAAAATGGGCGAAGAACAGGAATATGTGGTTAGGCCAGAACAGTCAAAGGAACAGAGCAAACCGGTCTAGGATAGGTGAACTACAATGAGAAAGGCTTTAGTTGTTAGATAGATGCACAGATTTGTCTTCACCTTAAACATCATCAAAATTGTCAGCCAAGTTAATCTTCTTTATTAGTTATGGTTTTAGCCATGAATTCTGAGTACAAGAAAAAGCCATAATTTAAAACAAGGCATGCTGTTCTCAGATATATGGCATAGGCTGGCTATCTTTTCCATACATATTGTTTAGTATTGTTAGATATGGGAACAGCATAAATACTAATTTTGATAATATATATTACTGGACTTGTAGAAAGCATATATTTCAAATACTCTGTCAGCACTAATAAAAACCGAAGAACAGATGTTGGGTTGTGAAGTTCCTTACCTTTGGTCATATGTCATTGTTCACACATATACATGAAAGGTCAGAAGGTAAATTTCATATTCATACAAAAAATTAAAAATTTTACCATGGTCTTGTGACAATGATTAATGAAGATTTAATCTTAAATTGTGCTTACATCGAAAGTGTTTCCTCCACAGAAACCTGGTTAAGGTAATATAAATGACCAACACTAGTAATTCCAGTGCCAGAATGTGTCACTTGGAGTGGTGTCCCCTCTACACAATTCCAAGTACTGAACATGTGACACTGATTAGCTTATTTCATGGGTGCATTCCTGTTAAGCCATACATTCTGAAAAGAACAGTCGAACATTTCCTGCCACACATACATTTATGTGTGCATGTATCTTGCATATATATATATATATATATATATATATATATGTATGTATTGTATATATTGTCAGGTACAGTAAAAATATAAAGCTAATCTTTAATCCAGACCAAAAAATATTTAATCAGAATGATTAACTGATGGTTCATTTATCAAAACAATGAAGACTATTTCTCATGTAAGAATAATGGCTTGATTATTTAAACCTGTTTGTAAAGGTTTTCTTTTATAAATTCTAGATAGTAGACAAGTCAGTCCATCAAACCATTAGACTTTTACAACACTGTTTATTCAAATTTTAAGAAAACATGTTAATAGGATCCTGTCACTAGTGTCTATTAACTGTTATTGTATTAATTTACTCTAATTTCAACATATATACAATACTTTACTTTCTTGTAAAAATTTAAAATATAGGAATTATTTCTACCTTATCTATATATTGAGAGAGATGGTGGTGGCCTTTTGAGGTATTAGGCCTTCAGGAATTTGAAAGAGAGCAAGTAGGATGCAAGAGAAGGGCCGGAGGAAGGAAAGGGAAGTAATAAAGCAAGGTAACTATGTATTGATTTCAAAAATAAAAAAAAATGTTTTAAATAATAATAATAAAATTTTAAACTATTATGAAACAGAGAAAAGCACCTGTAAATTCAGAGGACTGACAGCAACAAAGGCACCAATCTTTTTTCACACACTTTCATTTTGGAGGCTCCATTTCCAAGTCTCAGTAAATGTGGCTTATATAGGTTTGAAGTACAAGAACCAAAGGCTGTGTCACTCTCTTCTTATTCCAAAGACTGAGGGAGTGGAAATGTGAAATTCCCTTGAGGACAAAGAGGGCTCCCCGCAGGACAAAGTGAAACTGTTCCACTAGACTTTGAGAGTACAAGAGTATAGGTTGTTTCATATACCAGTATTTCATGTACCAGGGTGGAACAGATCTGTTGGTAAAGTGTGAAGGTTTTCTTGTGAGTTCCCTGAGAATCCACATGCCTATAATCTCTGTGCTTTTATAGTAAGCTAGAAGCATAAAGAAGAGAATCCCCAGAATCACACAGGCCACCTATCTTATGCATAGCAATGGACAAAGAGACCCCATCTCAAACTTAGTGGAAAGTGAAGAGCAGCACATGAGGTTGTCCCTGACACTTTCATTATTGCATGCACATGCCTGTTCTCACACACAATCACTTGCACATGTACACATCACATATTCACACAAATCTGTAGTAAATTGGAGCTGTTACCACATGGTCAATTATTTGCCCTTGTTTTGGTCAGTGGTGGCACTGAGCATTATGGAAGCAGATATACATTGGTTACTTACTCAACAAAATCTGCATATGGGAATAGACATTAGTTTCAGCTTATAGATTAGAAG